AAAACAATTATTAAATTTATTTATTTATTTATTTATTTTTTTTAAAGAGAGAGAGAGAGAGAGAGAGAGAGAGAATTTTTAATATTTATTTATTTATTTTAGTTCTCGGCGGACACAACATCTTTGTTGGTATGTGGTGCTGAGGATCGAACCTGGGCCGCATGCATGCCAGGTGAGCGCGTTACCGCTTGAGCCACATCCCCAGCCCCATTATTAAATTTATTTGGATTAATAAGAGACCCAGAATAGCCAGAGCAATACTGAGCAAGAAAAGCAAAGCAGGAGGTATCACAATACTAATCTGAAATTATACTACAGAGCTGTAGTAATTAAAACAGCATTATATTGGCTCCAAAATATAAATGAAAACCAATGGAATAGAATTGAAGATACAGATAGAAACCCTCAAGCCTATAGCCCTCTGATATTCGTCAAAGGTGCCAAAAATATATCTTGGAGAAAAGACAGCCTTTTAAACAGAGGGTAGCTATCTGTAGAAAAATGAATATTTTATTATGCTTGAATTAGGGACCCCCAAAAGACCACCAGAGACCAGATCTATGTAAGCAGCAAAGAGGTGTTTATTGCGAGCTAGCTAGGTCCTCCGCGTGCACACAGCAACTGGTGACGCTGAGAGGCCCCAGCCCAGGGTTTGCAGCAATTTTATACACTCTTTGGGGGAAGGCAGGGACTTCACAGACATCATAACATCTCTTAGCAAATCATCACACACCGGGAGAAAATCATAAAACAACTCTAAAACATGATTAGCACATTCACTGGTGGGAACAAGTTGAATAAGGTTGATTGGTTACTACAAGAGGGGGATTCATTTGAACTGATTGGTTTAAGCCAAGAGGGATGTTCATGCTGAACTATGTGGTTTTCCAACACGTTATCAACCACCATAAACTACTGGGAGGGTCATCTGGCATCCCAGGTATTTCCCTTTCTCATGCTGATTGGTGGCTGCTAGGGGGCTGCTATGGGTCCCCACCTAGCCCTACTGAGTCAGGGACACCTGGCGCAGCAGATCTCTTCAGTTATTTGTAGATAAACAACTCAGCTGAGTGGGTATGTGCCTAGAAGTGCTCCGTGGGTCTTTCCAAGGACAAGGGTCACGTCCCCTTCACCCTGCACAAAGCTTGAATCAAAATGGATCAGAGACTTAGGAATTAGAACAGAAACATTACAACTGCTAGAAGAGAACCTAGGGTCAACACTCTAGCATATAGGTGCTGGCACAGATTGCCTTAAGACCCCAAAAGCACAAGAAGAAAAAAAAAGCGAACAATTAATAAAAGGGATGCCATTGGACTAAAAAGTTTCTGCACAGCTAAGGAAATAATTACAGTGTGTAGACAGAGCCTACAGAATGGGAGAAAATCTCACTCCAGTCAGATTGGCAAATATCAAGAATAAAACAACAATAAATTATARTGAGATTGTGGGGAGAAAGCAACATTTGTATATTGTAGGTGGGACAACTGACTAGTATTAGCACTCTGGAAAGCAGTTTGGAGAGTCCTCAAAAAACTAGGAATGGAACCACCATATRACCCAGCTATCCACTCCTGGATATTTTCCCAAAAGATGTAAAATTGGCATATTACAGTGACACAGCCACATCATTTATAGCAGCAAAATTCACAATAGGTAATTATGAAATCAACCCAGATGCCTGTCACTACATGAATGGATTAAGAAATTATAGTATATGTATACAATGGAGTTCTACTTAGCCATGAAAAATAATGAAATTATGGCATTGCCAGTAAAAAGATGGAAATGGAGAATATCAGGCTAAGTGAAATTAGCCAGACTCAGGAACTCAGCATGGAAGTGGGGTTCCTTGGAGAGTTAGGCCTGCCCAAGAAAGCTGGAGTGGGGCTGCTCTGGAGTTCCACCTGGGGTACCAAATTTGTTCCTTAAACCTCAGTCCTTGTCCCCAATGCCAATCCAATAACAAGACACGGTTTGAGAAAAAGGAAAAAGGTTTATTGCTTTGATAGCAAAGGAGAAGCGCAGGGATTTGCCCATCAAGGGAAGCAGGGGGCTTTTAAAGAGGTGACTCAAAGGTTACATTCCATGTGTTCTGTCCAGAGTTGTATTAATTTGTTAATTTGGGAGATAGTCATTTCTGAGATCTTCTGGAGCCAAACCCAAAGTTTGAATTATTTCCTTCCTATAAGTGTTCAAGGACAGATAACTGCCTAGGATGGGGAAGAAAGGGAATCAATCCTATTTCCCCTGAGATTAGGGAGAGGGAGAGATTAGGGAGGAGCAGGGGAGAGAGGAAGAGAAAGAAATGTCTTTTAAAAAAATAAATGGCGGGCTGGGGATGTGGCTCAAGCGGTAGCACGCTCGCCTGGCATGCGTGCGGCCCGGGTTCGATCCTCAGCACCACATACCAACAAAGATGTTGTGTCCGCCGAGAACTAAAAAA